TCCGTTCTTGGCACCTTGTCCACGCGATGCGATGCCTTTCTCAACCAAGCTTCTTTGAATATTTTTTGTGGCTCCTCTCATGTGTCACAGTGTTTCGTTCGCCGTTCCTTTGCTGTTTTAACAGGGCGTGATGCCAAGGCCCGGCGCCATTGTTGACGCAGCCGCATGGGTGGATTGCACGCTGCCCTCGCTTTTGCACCTTGGGCCTGTAATTCGCTTCTTTCTCAACCGCTGTCAAGCCCGAACCCTTAATTCTTTGAATCTCCAGGCTCCAAAGCCTCAAGTGCAGGCAGCATCCGATCCTTCTCCGAAAGTGAGAGGCTTGAAGTGCTGAGGGGCTCTAGTGGGGTTGAAGACTTTAGTGAACCTCTCGATGTGCGCAAAGTCTGAGGCTGGGGACGTTTTGAATGGCTCTAGTTCGCCTCTTGTTGTTCAAGGTTTCGACAGCAATCTCGTTAGCAAGTTTACATGATGTTACCTGCTGGCTGTTGCCAAAGCTTGCTTATTCCAGACATCCCCGGCGACTCGCCCCTGTACAAAAGGAAGTAGGTGTAGGAGTGTAGGAGTGTAGGATCTTGCTTTGGAAAGAGCGCCCGGGTTCAGGGCTAGCTTTAGGTTTTAAGGACTGAGGTCTTCGGCGGGCATCGAAGTTCGCGAAGTGATGGGGCTCATAGGTGTGTGTAGGGCCGCCCCTTGGAGCTCCCTGGCCCTTACAAAATTCGGACCATTACCCCATACCATCCCAGACCTTAGATATCCGCTCTCGGATCCTAGAGCTCGGAGCGTTTGGGATTGGGCTTCAAGATGCAGTCTTAAGGGCGTTTGCACTTCGCGGGTTGGCGTCAGCTTGTCGGAGCTTTGCGAGTTAGTGTTCGCTAGCCGCTTGCCATGGAAGCTTTGCTGCCGCTTAGAGTCTGGTGTCCCAGATATCCCAGTCCTAGGGCCGGCACCGGCGTTCTCGTAGTCGTGCGTGTGTTCGCGGCGTTCGCATGCGGGACTTAGATGCTATGACGAGCCGTTCAGAGGTGCGTTGGTGCTTCTGGGAGGAGATTTTCGACAAATATCTCCCATCATGGACTTGGCCTCGCGCGCTGGTACACGGGAATAATTGAGCATTGATCTAAAGGTCCTTGCGTGGCGGTTACAAGACTGTTACAAGGCAGCGACCACACGGCATTAAGATATGCCTCCGCGAAAGATCCGCGTTGGGATTGCGAAAGCAAATTGTTTTTTCGCGAAAGTTCTTACGTAGCCCAGGTCTTGTTCTATGTTGCCAGCAGCCTCCATCAGTTTCCTTCCAGACTGCCCGGATGGCTCCGAAAATACTCGCAGAGCCAAGGGAATCCGGGAGCAAATCTCAGGGCTGCGAAAGTTCCGCATAAATTCCGAGCAAGCTCCGCTGAGGTGCGCGTTGGCTGTTATTGGGATTCACATATCTCTGAAACAGTGAACCCAATCCATTGCCGAAGGAACTGCAAGGCCCTGTAGTATGGTTCTGGACTTGAATCAAGTTTGGCTTGTTGAAGCTTAGGGATCTAGACCTTGATCTGGGCTAATAGAATAAACCTGCACCACGATGGGTCCGCGAAAGGTTCGCGAAAATATGTTTTTCTACGAAGACGGTTCTTTCGGGATGAAAGAATTTGGATCATAGAGCCAATATATAGGATGTAGAAGAACTTCTGGAATTTGTTTCTATTCTATGACTTTGTGTTCAGCAAAATCGCCAAAAAACCTTGGATGATTGAGAGAATTAGTGGTCCTTACGTTCTTTTTTTAAGGGCATATACGATAAAATTTACGAATACGAAGGAAAAGATACACGATAAATTGAGGTTGTTCATGGAATTTGCGAATATGAAGGGAGAATTTATATATTAATTCGTTTGGGTCTTTACAGTATTAAATTTTGAATGCGAAGGAGGGGGATGTATGAAAAATATTTAATCTAGGGTTTTCAAGAAAAAAAGAGGGGTACGAATATATGAGAAAATTTTACGTGAGATTTTGAGGGGTTTTATTCATCTCGTTATCATGGTTTCGTTTAGGACGATTGAATTGTTCAATCGGATTATTATCATATTTCTCAAGATATAAATAGGTCGAATAAATACTTCGCTCATTAGATGAATAAAGATTGTCTATATACGATATATCTTCCGAATTTCTTTAATAGCCTCTCCCTTCATTGAGGAAGATTGATGAGGGGTCTTTTTGGAGAAAAATAATTAGATGGAAGGGGAGGATATTTATGGTAAGATTAAATAATTTTAAATATCATATCAGGATAATTATTATGGAAAAAAAAGTATATATGGAAGTTCGAAGATATTTGATCATATTTTGGGAACTTATTTCTATTTTTGTGTCGTGCGTCTTTAGTGTAGGGTCGGTGTATCGCGTTGGTGATTTTATTCGGTATATAATTCGTATCATTTAGTAAACGTTTCTTCGTGGTTTTAATTGTGTGGATGGAATTAAACCATTATTTTTCGAATTCTTTTGACTATCTTTATGTATGCAAAGAAAGATATTTTCTTAAATATGTGTTATTTTACTCTCGTATTGGAATAAATTGGAATTATAATTCATTCATAAGGAAATATGAATTGAAATCTATGAGTAATTTCTTTTTTTCTTTCTTACGATATGAAATTATTATTTTCTCTAGAATTTTTAATTCTTATAATCATAAAAATAAAAAAATAAGAAAATATTATGAATATTCTCGGAAAGTTCTGATTCGAATAATTTTCTCATTTATAATAGATCTGATGGTGGAGAATTAAAATATATTTTATCTCTTATTATGAGATATTAAAATAAATCTTATGGATTGAAAATTTCATGGATGTTATTGGGTGGGATTTAATAAATATTACGATGGGAGATTAAAATAAATCTTGTTTCTTCATGAGATGATGGATTATAAAAACTAAATTTTACGGAATTTTATTTGTTCATAGATTGGTTGGGTGGGAAATTAAAATGAATGTCATGGTGGAAAATTTAAATAAATCTTTTTTCATGAGAATAAATTTTATTTGGATTTCTTTGGTGGGGGGATATTGAAATAAATTTTATGGAGGGATTCTAAAGTAAATTTTATTTCTTAATGATATTTGATTGGGATTCTCAAATAAATTTTACGGTTGGAGATTAAAATTTTCTATGAATTTTGTTGGGTGGGATCTACTCTATAAAACGCTACGGTCAAACCAGCCCTATGCGGTACGTCACGCTTCGGAGCGCCCCAGCCTCAAAATTTTCCGGAAATTTCTGGACCCCGGCGAGCAAGCCGCTTTGGCCTACCCGGGACTCAAAATTTCCGGGAAATTTTGGGGCTTGGGCTGTGCCTTTTGAAAGGCTGGGCCTCTTCGACGGCCGCAAGCTGGATTCGCTCCCCTAAATTTCTGGAAAATTTCTGGTTCCGGGTAGCCCGAAGCCTCGGTCCCTAAATTTCCGGAAAATTTGCTTCATCGCTTTCCTAAATTTTCCGAAAATTTACCCACCCAAAATTTTCAGGAAATTTAGGAAACGGATGCAGCCTTCTTATCTTGGATGCCCGTGTTCTTGCAGCAGGACTTAGAGCAAGAAATTTGTGAACCAAGTGCAGTCTTCTTATCTTGGATGCCCGTGTTCTTGCTGCATGACTTGGATGCTCGTGTTCTTGCTGCATGACTTAGAGCGCATGTCGCTGTCACGGGCAACAACGCGCATGTCACGGGCAAATGCAGCACAGATTGGGAGGTTGCATATCACGGGCAAATGCAGCACAGCTCGGATTGCATGGCCATCGTAGCGATGGTGCTCTTTGCTCGTGTTCTTGCTGCATGACTTAGAGCGCATGTCGCTGTCACGGGCAACAACGCGCATGTCACGGGCAAATGCAGCACAGATTGGGAGGTTGCATATCACGGGCAAATGCAGCACAGCTCGGATTGCATGGCCATCGTAGCGATGGTGCTCTTTGCTCGTGTTCTTGCTGCATGACTTAGAGCGCATGTCGCTGTCACGGGCAACAACGCGCATGTCACGGGCAAATGCAGCACAGATTGGGAGGTTGCATATCACGGGCAAATGCAGCACAGCTCGGATTGCATGGCCATCGTAGCGATGGTGCTCTTTGCTCGTGTTCTTGCTGCATGACTTAGAGCGCATGTCGCTGTCACGGGCAACAACGCGCATGTCACGGGCAAATGCAGCACAGATTGGGAGGTTGCATATCACGGGCAAATGCAGCACAGCTCGGATTGCATGGCCATCGTAGCGATGGTGCTCTTTGCTCGTGTTCTTGCTGCATGACTTAGAGCGCATGTCGCTGTCACGGGCAACAACGCGCATGTCACGGGCAAATGCAGCACAGATTGGGAGGTTGCATATCACGGGCAAATGCAGCACAGCTCGGATTGCATGGCCATCGTAGCGATGGTGCTCTTTGCTCGTGTTCTTGCTGCATGACTTAGAGCGCATGTCGCTGTCACGGGCAACAACGCGCATGTCACGGGCAAATGCAGCACAGATTGGGAGGTTGCATATCACGGGCAAATGCAGCACAGCTCGGGTTGCATGGCCATCGTAGCGATGGTGCTCTTTGACAAGTTTGAGGGGATGCTCCTCTTCCACTTTGCCCGGGCCCTCAGCATGCAAGCGTCGCATCACCCTGGACAGCTCGCAGTACCCTAAACCCTGAATCCTGAACCCTAAACCCTAACCCTAAACCCTACACCCTAAACCCTAAACCCTAAACCCTAAACCCTAAACCCTGGCGAGATCATCTGCCTGCTGAAGCTGGCCGGGGTGTTCGTGCTACGCGAGTTCATCTGGCTGGAGGCCCGGGGAGTGCAAAGAGGAGGGTTGGCAACGATATGAGAACCCGATGTGCTTCATGCTTGCAGCGCTCAAGCTTTCTTGCTTGGCCAGCTCGGTCGATTTGTGCTGCGGGCCACAGAAGTCCAGCAGCATCTTTAGCGATGGAAGCTTTGCTACCGCTGGTACAGATGTTGGTTGCATCCGGCAGCCAGCGAAGCCGTCGACGTCGACGCCGCTCGCGTAGTGCTTCCAGTGGAAGTTCTTCACCTCGCCTGACGCTGCGACAGTGGAGGCGCTTGGATGCCGCCCATTCCGATACCCGCGGCTCGCCCGGCCATGCTGGGCCCGCTGCGGCAACGGGCTCCGGTCACGGCGGGCTCCAGAGCACTGCTGCTACAGGTAGCAGTGTCCCTGGCGACAACCTCGGCGCGGCTGCGTGTGCCACGCCTGCTTGGGATGCCCAGGCTAGCTGCGCAAGCGCGTGGCATGGCACGCACTCAGGCTCCTGGGGAAAGCCAGACTGTGCCTGGCAAACGAACACCGACTCGTGGCACCAAGACTCCCAGTCGGGCAGCAGCACCGCTTGGAGCAAGAGCCCGCAATCGGGCGGCAACGCGTCCTGGAGCAAGCGCCCTCACTCAGGCGGCAACTCTTGGAGCAAGCAACCACGTCGAGACGGCAATGAGCGTTGGAATGAGCGGGCAAACACGAGTGGCGAGTCGTGGAGCACGCACCCGCGGCGACTCGGAGCTGCCCCGAAGTGGGGCACCAAGCGCGGAGTGCGTGGCAGCGGCTGCGGGCAGACTGCGCGGCGCGGTCCCGAGAACCCGAGCCAGGAGGAACCAGAGACTGTGGATGTCTTTCCCAGCATGGAGACACGTGATGAGGATTGGTGGTTCTTGGCTCGCGAGTCTGGGAAAATCGATCCTGGGCGACCCTTGAGTTGCGCTGAGATTGTCCAAGCGACGCTCCTCGAGCCCGACCAGGTCAAGCTCGAAGAGTGCGTGGAGTTGCTCCAGGGACGCGTTCGTCGCGCTCCCCGTTCCGTCCTCTACGATGTTGCTGAAACATTCGGGAAAGCTGGCGTGGACATCGGCACGTGCGAGTCCTGGACTGAGACGGGATTCGGTTTCCTTCGTGCGAACATCGAGACTGTTCGAACGCCGGACATCTGGAGCCCGAGATGGTACTCTTACACCTTCCTTCATGGTACGACCCTGCCGAAAGTAGCTTGCATGCGACACACAGATTTTTGCTTTGGCGGTTACTTTTTGCTTGCTTATGCTACAGTCACATTCGAGGTTTTTTATCCCAGCACCCATTGCAGGCTGCTAACATCCTTCACGAGAACATGGTCCGGCCACTATCGTGGGGTGATCAGGATTATCCCTCTTACGCTTTTTATGCTCGCGTCATACAGTCCGACCTTGAGCAATGGGCCGTCAAGTCTCTCTGCAAGAAGATCATGACAGTCGGAAAGGGTCAACAGGGAACGTTGATACTAGGCCTCGCGCGAACTCCGATGCAACATTCGAAGATGCAAGCTGGTGGAACAACAGTGGAGCAACATGCCGCCCGCCACGCATACATTGTGCGTGGTGTGGATGGCCGCTTCGCCATCCGCAGCGACTACGCGATTCCCACAGCCCTCATCGTGTACTGGCCCGAGTGAGGCGTTGGGCGTTTCTGAGAGCTTGCTGTACCCCATGCTCAAAAATGTTCATTGGCAGGTAAGTGACTAGCAGCTCCTGTGTAAACTTACCTGGCTAGTGTTGGGCGGAGATCCAGCAGCTCGCTCTCATAGGGTCGAGCAGTTCACTGCACTCTGAGGCCTGTAACGCCTTAGGAATTTCCGATGGAGTCATCCATAGCAGAATTTCTTGAGAGGCAACTAGCTTGTGAGCTGTTGCCACCAGCAGGCGTACAGCCGGGTGCACTCAGATGAATAGACTAAATTTAACTGCTGCAGCCTGGGCATAGGCCGGGTTAGCTCTTGCTACAGGACACGGGCCGAGTGCACTCGGAAGCCATCAGTCGCTTTTTCTGGCATGGGCGGACAAGTCGCTCCGATCATTCCCGCTGGCCGTTGTCCAACCTCTTGCTCTTGCTCTCTGATTCTGAAGCTAAATGCACTTTTTCGGACTCGCTGCTTTTGCAATGCAATGCGTTCAAGGTCTAGGAATTCACAGTGAAGTTTAGACTCATTTTGAGGTTGTTCCTAGTGTTCTAGCGGCTTCTAGCACGCTTTGGCAGGTGTTCTCGATCCTCCAGCATCGCAATACCACGTGCAGCGATACGTTCCAGGTGGGACATGGATTGGGCGCTTCGGCAGATGTAATCTTGAGGGCAGTGTGTGACGAAATTGTGCACTGATTGGTATGATTTGCGGGTTTTCTACTCATGCTGATGCTTCCTAATCCAAAGCCAAGTCTGCAGGGAGACTGCTGCACTCTTCCGGGCTCGCCGCTTTTGCGCTCATCCTCCAATGGAGCGATGCAGGGCGCTCGAGGTCTAGGGATTCATGGTGAAGTTTCAAGTCATTTTGAAGTTGCCCCGCCCTCTCCCCCCACCTCCTACAAAAAGGGAGAGAGGTTCTAGCGGCTTCCAGCGAGCTCTTGCAGGTGTTCTCGGTTCTCCAGCATCACAATGCCAGCACAACAAGACCTTCCAGGTGGGATTAAAGCCATGTTGAGGTTGTCCCCGTTTCCTCCCCGAAAAAATTGGGTAGTGTGCTAGCGGCTGGCAGGTGTCCTCGATCCTCCAAGATCGCCATGCCACGTACAACGAAACGTTCCAGGTAGGACATGGACTAGGCGCTCCGGCAGCTGTATTCTTGAGCGCAGTGTGTTACGAAATTGTGCACTGATTAGCACTTATTTGCGGATTTTTTCCTCCTGCTGATGCTGCTATGATTCCGAAGCCAAGTCTGGGGGGAGACTGCTCCTACAAAAAAGGGGGGGGAGTGTCCTAGCGGCTTCCAGCGAGCTCTGGCAGGTTTTGGGTTCTCCAGCTTGACAATGCCACGTACAACCGAAAGCTTCCAGGTGGGGTTAAAGTCATTTTGAAGTTGTTCCCCGAATGCGGGTGGATGTTTCGGGAATTCGCTGTATGCGGAGTGGTAGGGATCCATGAATGCATCAAACTAAGCCCTCGGCCATAAACTCATCATGCTGCGCTCGCGAGGCACCGGCCTGGCGGAGATCTCCCACAGGCAGTCGGAGCCCCAAGCAGCGGAAGCTTCGAGTTTTGAGGGTTTCTGGATGTTTCTGTCGGCTCTTACGAGGTGCTGGCCATCGTAGCGATGGTGCTCTTTACAAGTTTAAGGATGCTCCTTTCAATTTTGTCCGCGGCCTCAGCATGCAAGCGTCGCATCACCCTGGACAGCTCGCAGTACCCTGAACCCTAAACCCTACACCCTAAAACCTAAACTCGAAACCCTGAACCCTGAGCCCTAAACCCTAAACCCAAACCCTAGCGAGGTCATCTGCCTGCCGAAGCTGGCCGGGGTGTTCGTGCTACGCGAGTTCATCTGGCTGGGGGCTCGGGGAGTGCAAAGAGGGTTTAGGGTTTAGGGTTTAGGATTTAGGATTTAGGGAGTGCTTGGCCAGGAGGCTCATGTGTTGTTGTACTTTGCAGGGAGAATGATTTCTATTTGGTGGACCCGGTGACTTGTATCAGCTTCCTGGCTGGGCACCCATTGAACACAGATGTTTGGGGTTTAGGGTTTAGGGTACTGAGTCTGGGTTCAAAAGGGTTTAAGGTGCGAATGTCCCTATGCCGTGGAGCTCGACTCCTGACGTCCATCAATTTTTGCCCTTTGCGCCACAAGGAGACGCGAGTCTCTGACTCCGCTCTTGTGGTGCGAAAACCACTTCAGAAGAGGCAGAGGCGTGGGTGCATCCGTGTGTTTCATGAGGCGCTGGGGCAAAGGAGTTCAGTTGGGCACGCTTGCTTATGCTCTGCTGGTTCAGCTTCCCTGGTGGGCTGGGCATAATGGGGTTTGAGTTTACTCATTTTGATTGTCTTGAAGCATGGATTGACTTTTAAGGCCGCGGTCATGGGTGAGGGAGGCTCCAGCATTGCATCATGGTTCATGGTCGCAAGTCGAGTGGCAAGCCGACCTTAAACCCCCAGGTCCTTAAAACTAAGCCCTAAACCCTAGGCCCTGAGCCCTAAACCCTATAAGCTCTTAGACGCCCGAGGCCCAAAGCCCTAAGCGATAAACCCTGTCTAAAGCAAAAGACCTAAACCACAGAACCCTAAAACGCAACCTCTAAACCCCAAACTCCTACTCTTTAAGCGCTGCAGCCCTGAGCCCTAGGAGCCAGGCCCCAGGGCTTATGCCCCAAGCCGCAAGCCCCGAGCCCGAACTCCTGTCTATATTGACTCGAAAAATAATTTTGGCGGCAGGCCGGGCCCGGAAGCTAAGTGAGTGACAGGCGGTGCACTCATGGATCGAGCCATTAGAGTAAAGACGTAAATCCTAGCCCGCTGTCTTGGGCAGATATTTACGCACAAAATAATGTATCGTGAAGCGCTGTCATTCTGAGCTTGCATTCTTATATTTGAGTTATCGCGGGCACGCCTAATGGTGCTGGGAAATTGACATCCACATTGCGACGGCGCCATGCCACCACGGAAGAGACCGGCGGCAGTTCCGCTAGAAAACCTGCAGCGTGGACGCGAGCGCAAAGGCGCCTACCACATTGAATTTCAGAGGCTGCAGGACTTGCGCAGCGCTCGGCCTCTTGGGGAGGCGGACCGTGGAAACTACGAGGCATTGATGGAGCTTCGCCCGAGTCTTGTGCAGAAGCTCGGCGAGAGCATCGATCTTAGGAAAGCATTCTTCGTGTCAGCACAATCGGGCGCTGATTCTGCCGTTCGGGCTGTGGCTCATTATGTCGTGCTCCGTGAGGCTCTGCGAACCTCTTCAGCATCAATGGAAGACGTTGCGCAACGCTTGCAAGCAGAAGGGGACAAGTATTGCAAATACTTCTCGAGCAACGACCTCGCGCAAGCCGTTTCCACTTTGCGCCTATGCAACATACAACCTGGCGAGGACCGATGAATCTGTAGAATACATAGCTGCTGACACGAAACACTAGACGATCTATCTCTCTGTTGCGTTGCGTTCTAGCCAGGACCGCGGAAGCTACAGAATGAGGTGGGTGGCCGCCGCTATCATTTGCCTCCTGCAACTCGAACTTCGTGACGTGGTAGTTGAACTTCGATTAACGGGTAGATTGCTAACGGCAGCTTGTGCGTTCGCAGTGCTCACAGGAGGGCGACATTTCTGCAGATTCCTCCGAGACAAACTTAATCTGGTTGTCCTCCGGCAGCTGCCGTCTTGGTGTACGGAGCTCTTAAACTACCACGACGATGCAAGAGTTTGGGCCGACGGCGCGGGGATGCCACGAGCCCATGGCCATCAGGAGGAGCATGACGCCGACGGCTTGGTGGAGCCTGACGACTCGGAAACAGCTGGGGATGTCCCGGAAAGCCGCGAGGTGGGTGCTGCGGCGCTCTTTGGCAGTATGACCGCAGGTCAGCGTACTGTTTTGCGCGCGCTTGGCACGCGGCTCCTGGAGGAAGCTGAGACGTGCATGCCTTGGAGTGGAGCTTCGCATTTGGGATTCCGTCCCATGCGAGCCGCCGGGTTCCCACGTACCATCGCTATCTGGCAGAGCTACTGTGACAACATGTCTCTTACATGGCGGCGGAGCGCCCTTCACGAGAGTACCTTCATGATGCCCCGCAACGGCCTGGTGGAAAAAGTCTTACGGGACCGCGTGGAGGAGATGGTGACGCCATTCTGGAGCGCCGCAGCCTTTCGGCGTCGGTTTGCTTGCGTTCCGATTGTTCCCGCTGTGGGCGGATGTGCACGGACACTGTGCCTGCTGCAGCAGAGGAGTATGATCTTGGGCACTGAGCATGCCCCCGTGCAGCACCCCCCGCAACTACTCTTGCAATGGGGTCGACGGCTGCATAGTGAGGTTCGCAGAGAGGCACGGCAGCTAGGTATCCCAGAGCCCGACATCGAGTTTACACATTCGATAACGGAGAATGTGCTGTGCTGTTTCAGTAAGTGTGTGGACGCCATGCTTGGCTGCTCGCACCATCACAGTCGTTACCGGTGACACCGACCGGCGGAGCGCGCCCTCCAGCAAAGAAAGCTACTCAGCAAGTGGTCTAGCCTGTTATTTACACCCGCCCTAATTGCTTTATAACCCACTGGGGCTTAGAGCGCCCAGGGCCCTAAATTTCCGGAAAATTTAGAGGCCTGGGTCCTGCGACACGGAACTCTGCCAGGCCCTGCCGGCGGGTCGCCCTCGCTGATGCTGAGGTGAGCATGCTACGGGTTGAGTTTCGCGCGCGCAACGCAGCGGGTTATCTAGCTTTCCCTTTCAAGCTTTGCGGCGCGATCGCTGGCATTGGCTCTTGCATGCACGTCATTAGGTTGGTCCGCTACTTTCCTCAAGTGCAGCGCGCCGGTGACCGCAGAGCGATTTGGCGCGTGATGGGCAAGCTTGGCGCCTTCACCATGAGCAAGACAGGACGCGGCCGCGGCCGCGGAAGGGCAAGTGCCAAGGCAGCTCCGAAGACTCTCATCGTTCCCAAGGCTGGCTCGCTGCAGCCAAAGGCAGCTCCCTCTGGTGCGTCGGAGCCGCGCGATGCGCCGGTTCAATTAGCTGTCATCCAATGGACTCGAGTTGCTCACAAAGCCATCGAGTCGTTCGGAGACGACCCCCTCTGGCAAATCCAACTGAAGCACGATGGCAAGCCCACCGTGTCCATGCAATTGATCCGCCACTTCGGAAACTACTTGACCGTCCTCCGTGAAACCGACGACAGTATCCCGGAGAGCATCCAAGCTTTAAAGGAACGTGCAGGCATCGCTCTGCAGCTTGCCGGCGGCACGGTGCAGTGGCGTGCCGCGTGGTACGTGGAAGGTCCGCCTGAGGCGCTTCAAAACGCACTACGTCTCATCCTCGGCTTTGTACATCATCGCTGGAACAGCACTGCGCCCGGAGAACGTGGTTTCCCTGGAGACCTCAGGATCGAGCTCGACGTGGACCCCTCCATCGTGTGCAAGAACGAGCTTGCAGAGATGCCTGTGGCACCTATGCTTGTACGTAACTTGGACCTTTCGCCCTTTTCCCCGGCACCACCTGCTGGTGCCCAGATTCTGACGTTCCAGATCGAGTTCAACGAGACCAATGGCTTGACGGGCGTACTGGCTGGAGCTACATGGGCGTTCCGAAAGGAACTCGAAGCGAATGGCATCTACGGCGCTCGCGTCGAGGCAGACGACTCCTATGTCCGAGTGCTACCTTGCGTCGATGTATCCACTAAGAACGGACGCGATTGGATCTTGCAGAAGCTCTTCCGGGAGATCCTGTGTGACACCGTCTTGCACCTGGTGGTAGCTACACCGCCTCTGCCGGAGACTGCGGGAGCAGAGTTCTTGCAGATCCTGGGTGCCCAGCCGCATGTGTATACCGAGAAGTGACGCCACAGCAACGCGCACGCATTCGTCTCGTGCCTTTTGCTCGGTGTGAGGCCACAGCAATGCCTCTGTCTTGGGGAGACCATATTTACCGACAAGAAAATGGTCCGTGCAGTTTGTCAAATAAACACTTGCACCATTGTGACATGTCAACCTTGCGTCCGTTTTGTGCTCAGATTAGCATTCTGCGGACTGATTTCTGCACACACAATTCCGCAAATCACCTTCGCCTTGAAAGCTTTGCGTCGCGATCGCTAACGTTGGCTCTTGCATGCCCGCGATTAGCACAGTCCGTTGCTTCCTTCATGCAACACGCCGGTGACCACGAAACGATTTGGAGCATGATGGGCAAGCTTGGCGCCTTCACCATGAGCAAGACAGGACGCGGCCGCGGCCGCGGAAGGGCAAGTGCCAAGGCAGCTCCGAAAACTCTCATCGTTCCAAAGGCTGGCTCGCTGCAGCCAAAGGCAGCTCCCTCTGGTGCGTCGGAGCCGCGCGATGCGCCGGTTCAGCTAGCCGTCATCCAATGGACTCGAGTTGCTCACAAGGCCATCGAGTCGTTCGGAGACGACCCCCTCTGGCAAATCCAACTGAAGCACGATGGCAAGCCCACCGTGTCCATGCAGTTGATCCGCCACTTCGGAAACTACTTGACCGTCCTCCGTGAAACCGACGACAATATCCCGGAGAGCATCCAAGCTCTAAAGGAACGCGCAGGCATCGCTCTCCAGCTTGCCGGCGGCACGGTGCAGTGGCGTGCCGCGTGGTACGTGGAAGGTCCGCCTGAGGCGCTTCAAAACGCACTACGTCTCATCCTCGGCTTTGTACATCATCGCTGGAACAGCGCTGCGCCCGGAGAACGTGGTTTCCCTGGAGACCTCAGGATCGAGCTCGACGTGGACCCCTCCATCGTGTGCAAAAACGAGCTTGCAGAGATGCCTGTGGCACCTATGCTTGTACGTAACTTGGACCTTTCGCCCTTTTCCCCGGCACCACCTGCTGGTGCCCAGATTCTGACGTTCCAGATCGAGTTCAACGAGACCAATGGCTTGACGGGCGTACTGGCTGGAGCTACATGGGCGTTCCGAAAGGAACTCGAAGCGAATGGCATCTACGGCGCTCGCGTCGAGGCAGACGACTCCTATGTCCGAGTGCTATCTTGCGTCGATGTATCCACTAAGAACGGACGCGATTGGATCTTGCAGAAACTCTTCCGGGAGATCCTGTGTGACACCGTCTTGCACCTGGTGGTAGCTACACCGCCTCTGCCGGAGACTGCGGGAGCAGAGTTCTTGCAGATCCTGGTTGCCCAGCCGCATGTGTATACCGAGAAGTGACGCCTGTAGCGCGCACTCGCTCGCACTCATCTAAAGTCTCTTCCTCAGTGAGAGCGCCTCTATCGCAAAAAGGAGCTCCTTGTAGTTGTACAATAGAAGCAGCCACCTTTGTGCCTAGTCCACTTTGTATCCGTGTTGCTGCGCATGCGTAGGTTGTATGTGCTGTTAACGTACGTGGCCAACTTCGTGGCTCGAAGGACCACATAGCCGGTGCTTCACACGGCGTGAGCGCCCTTAAACGTCATGTCGCGCGGATCCGCTCTTCCGAGTTTGGTGACTATCTTGATCTTGCAGGCTAGCTGGCAAGCAGTGTATCCATCGGCTGCCATGCATGCCGACAGCTCGACCGCCGGCAGTGAGTTCGACGCGCTCTTGGCGCAGATGGCGACGCTGCCCGACCCAACCCGCCAGCAGGTGCTGGAATGCTTTACCCAGCTCGTGTCGGTCGAATGCACGTCGCGCCTGGCTGAGATACGCTTCTTCTTGCGCGCGCGTGCGCGCGCAGTTTCTGTGTGCGCTGCTGGCTCCGGGGTTCCGGCTGGCAACGCCGCAGTGTCCGAACAGCCGGCCCCAAGCGGCATCGCGCTCCAACTCATGCACACGATCTTGCGCGATGTCCACCTGGCGAACCACAATGTGCCCATTGACATTGAGGACGACTCCGTCGGCTGCGGCGACCTGCGGGATGCTTTCTTCGCTTGCTTGGGCTTACTACCACGCGCAGAGGATAACGCCGAGCCGCAAGCTGCGACTCTCCGCAACTGCAGCGCCGAGCCGCCTACTTCCGACATTGAACGCATGACGGACGGCAGCGGCGCCAGTCACAGGCGGCGCCGTATGCATGCGGCGTTCTACGGGTGAAAGCCGCTTCGGTGCAATTCGACCTCTAGATTGTTGAGTGCCATTCTGTTTGCGCACCTGCCTGTCTATCTATGCATGCATCATGCGCACTGTGCGCTGACTCAGGTACTTTTGCAGGATCTGAGCCACGTCCAAACATTAGCGACGACCGCCCGTGTTGGGTTTTTTTGCAGCGCGAAACAAGCTCGCGCGCTTCATCTGCAGTTAGGAGCTTCCCAAATACGCGAGTTTTCTTA